AAAAAAAAAGAACTTCGGGGAAGGGAGGGAGGGAGGGGATGGTAGGGGGAAAACAATGGAGGGGCTAACAATGTTCAAGAGGAAGTGTACTCCTTACCTCACTCATGTAACTGTAACCCTCTGTATAGTATCTTTACAATAAAAAATTAAAAAAAAATATTAGGTCAGGCATCGGCTCACACCTGTAATCCTAGCTACTTGATACTGACACCTCCAGATTGCCATAAGATCCAGCCCCATAAAGAAAGTAGAGCTGTGCCTCAGTGGTAGAATGCTAGCCTTGAGCGTAAAATATCAGGGACTCTAGGCCCTGAGTTCAAGCTCTACAACTGACCACAAAATTTCAGTAGTTTTACTTGCAATACATTGTGATTATGTGGATTGCTTAGGAATCACAACATTAGAAAAATAGGGTGTGGCTGGGCACCAGTAGCTCATGCCTGTAATCCTAGTTCTCAGGAAGCTGAGATCTGAGGATTGAGGTTCAAAGTCAGCCTGGCAGCCAAGTCCATGACACTTCAATTAACCACAGAAAAGCAGTTGAGCTCATGGACAACACCCAGGCCCAGAGTTCAAAGCCCCACCATCAACAAAAAGATGTGCATAAAAAATGGGGATTTTAGGTACACACAGTACTGTGGAGTTGAGTGTAAAGCAATGAAGGATATAGTTCTTATAGTTCAGTTTTAAATTCCTTTTGGCTATATTCAGATTTGGCTATGTAGGTTGTAGAATAAGGTTCTGACCTGCTTATTACATGGTTAAAAGGGTTTGCTTATGTGATTTAGGTTAAAGTTACTGAGATGAGTGGCATTCTGGGTTATTGAGTGATTCCTTAAAATTGGGACTATGGAAGGGCTTGATTTACTGTTGCTAACTAAATATGGAAGAAGGCCTTGAGGCAAAACAACTTCAAGTTGAAGTCAGGACAAGTCAAAAATCAACTTCGATCCCTTGGTTTCTGTCAAGTAGCAAGGAAGCATCCTTCCCTGGAGAGTTGAATATTATCCCAGGCTTCCTACCTACAGAATTACGTTGAAACCGGTTTTTATGACAGCAACAGAAAATGACTTAATTCAGTCTCAGGTTTGTAAGCCTAGGTACTCAGGAGGGTATAAATCCCAAGTGTCTGGTAATAAACCAGCAAGAAACCATAAGAAAGCAGGGCACTGGTGGTTTGCACCTGTAATCCTAGCTATTCTGGTGGCTGAGATACAAGGATCATGGTTCAAACCCAGCCTGGGCAAGAAAATCTATAAAAGTCCCATGAGGCTCTTATCACTA